CAGAAGGATTCCTGTCACACAGGGTGTCTGGGGGTTGCTGCAATGTGTTCCAGACTCCTTAGCCCTCCAGAGGACCTAGGGGCCCTCAGCCGGTGAAAGCAGGCTGGAAAGGGCGTGGGGACTCGCCCTGCATACACAAATGCCTTCCTTTGACGTTTATTCACATCTTGCCCTCTCAGGCCAGCTGTCGAGGGCCAACAAGGCCAGAACTTTGGGTTTGGGGTTATTATTAAAGAACTAAACATGTGAGGCAGGTGGTGGTGGTGAACACTTTTAATTGGTGGTGGCGAACAACTTTTATTCCCAGCACTCGGGAGGCAGAGGCAGGCAGCTTTCTGTGAGTTTGAGGCCAGCCTGGTCTACAGAGGGAGTTCCAAGACAGCCAAGACAACACAGAGAAATCCTGTCTCAAAAAAACAAAACAAGACAAACTGAAAATGCGAATAAGGAATACACACCAACAGTGCCCGCATCCAGACTGTGGTTACTCCAAACCACTGCCTGGAGATGGCAGGATAATGAGCCACTCCTGTTCTGCTCTCCCTGTGGATGGCACCTACCTGGCCTTCATGTCTCAGATAGTCCTGTCTCCCCATACACTTGTCTTCCGAAAGCATACACCAGGGACCAGCAAGATGGTTCAGTGAACAAAGACGCCCATTCCCAAGCCTGAGGAGCTGAGTTTGATCCCCATGACCAGCTCTGGAACGTTGTCCTCTAACCTCAACAAACCCCCTGCAGTCCATGCACATGCATGTGCACACAAATGAACACACACACACAAATACATCAAATGTAATACAAATTTCTAAAAACTAAAAAATAAACCAAAAGTCAAGCAGAGCTCATCACATCCTGTTGAAAACAAGACAAAGTCTGCCTGCCCTCAAAAGGCCACTTCCAGCAGGGTGTGGTGGCTCACTTATTTAATCCCAGCACTCGGGAGGCAGAGGCAGGGGGATCTAGTTTGAGGACAGCCTGGTCTATATAAAAAGACCCTGTCACAGAGAACAAAAACAAACAAAGACTACTTCCCACTGTCCCTGGATTAGAGGTGGCCCAGCTGGAGAGATAGAAAAAAGGAACAAGCTGGGCAGGGCTCATGAGGGCTGGTACTGCTTGGAAGAGGACCAGAGGGGATTGAAAACCTGGCATGTCAGATGGAGTTGTTTCCTGCGGTGGGCAGCCCCTGGCCTGGCTCAGGTCCCACTACACTCAAACACATGCACTGAGGAAATGTGTACGCATAAACATGAACATATCTGTACTTACAGATACACACATTTGCACATGCTCATATAGAAACATGAACACATGAATTTACATGTACAAGCACATGAACAAGTAAACACATACTTACCCACATAATACCCACAGATAAACACATATACATAAAACATACACATACTATAAGAGTTTGCTTCCTGTTGCTGTGATAAAACACTCCAACCAAGGAGAGGTGGTGGTGTTGGTTTTTTACTCTTTTGGGGGATCTGCCACCCAGCTACCAAATAAATCACATGTGGAGGCTTATTCTTCATTATGAATGCCTGCCCTTAGCTTGGCTTGTTGCTAGTCAGCTTTCCTTAACTTTACATTACCCCTTCTACCTTATACCTCTGGGCTTTTTCCTTTTCTTCCTTCTGTAATCTTAATTTCACACTTACTCCGTGGCTGGCTGTGTAGCTGGGTGGCTGGCCCCTGATGTCCTCCTCCTTCACCACTCGTTCCTTCGTCATTTTTCCTCCCGGATTTCTCCTTCTATAGATTCTCTCTGCCTGCCAGCCCCACCTATCCTTTCTCCTGTCTCACTATTGACCTTTCAGCTCTTGGTTAGACCAATCAGGTTATTTAGACAGGCACAGGAACACAGCTTCCCAGAGTTAAACAAATGTGTTACAAAAGGAACACACCTTAAAATAATATTCTACAACAGGAAGGAAAGCGTTTATCTGACTTATACTTTACAGTTCATCTTTGAAGGAAGTCAGCATAGGAATTCAAGCAAGAATGGTAGCAGACACCATAGAGGAAAGCTGCTTCCTGGCTTGTTCCCTGACTCACTCCCTAGCCTGTACTCCCATAGCTTTCTGACACAGCCCAAGCACACCTAAGGACGCCCAGGGATGACACCGCCCACAGAGGGCTGGGCGTTCCCACATCAATCATCATTCAAAGCAATGGCCCCACAGACCAATCGAACCTAGTCAATTTGAGGTTCCCCTGTCTCTAGGTTGTGTCAGGCTGACAGCTGAGGTGAACGAGGACACATACATGTATACTTGGTTCTCCACTCCTTGGAGCCTCCACTATACCAGCAAGGACATGGACTCGTGATCAGCAAAGGAGTTCAGTCAGAGCTCAATGTGTGCCCAAAAGCCCTATCCACCCTCTACCTGATGAACTGGTTCTGAGATTTTGTCAACACAAGACAACGTTGCCCTTTTATCTGAATCTAAGCTTCTAGTGTTGTGCAGTGGCAACATTTCAGGTACAACAGGAATCACCTTCAGGGTGGGGCAGAGACCTCTTTTTCATCCCTAGAACCTGCTATAGGAAAAACACTTAGTCCCGGGTGCTAATTCATACTTTTTGCAGAGACTTCAGGACAAGTCCCAGGCCAGACACAGGGATGCATGCATGGGTGCATGTGCATATAGACACACACACACACACACACACATACACACACACACACACACACA